AATTGTTTTTGGGTTGAAACAGTGGAGGCATTTCTTGTATGGAATGCAATTTGCAATATTCAGCGATCACAAGAGTTTGAAATACTTGTTTGATCAAAAGGAGCTGAATATGAGACAACGACGGTGGACCGAGTTCCTAAAAGACTATGATTTTGAATTGAAATATCATCCTGGCAAGGCTAATGTTGTAGCTGATGCACTGAGCCGTAAATCTGTGAGCATATCAAGCATGATGATTAGAGATTATGATGTGATAGAGAGGTTCAGAGATATTCAATTATCTAAAATCTTTCCATGTAAAATTTGTGGCTTTGAAATCACGAGCATTGAGAATGAACTGATGACCAGAATCAAAGAAGCCCAGCTGCAAAATGAAAGTGCTAGACGACTAAAAGGTCAGAGTGGTGTATCCTGCAATGATGAGGGTATACTATTATATCAGGGTCGTGTAGTTGTACCTAGGCAGTTGGCGGAAGAAGTGATGACAGAGGCTCATAAGGGTCATTTTACAGTTCATCCGGGAGCTACAAAGATGTATCAGGACCTAAAGATGAATTTTTGGTGGCCTGGTATGAAGAAAGACATTGCCGAATTTGTCTCTAAGTGTCTCATTTGTCAGAAGGTAAAGATTGAGCATCAAAAGCCTTCTGGTATGTTGCAACCTCTGGATGTTCCTGAATGGAAATGGGAGAGTATCTCCATGGATTTCGTAGTGGGATTGCCGCGAACACAGGCTAGTTATGATTCTATATGGGTGATTGTGGATAGATTGACAAAATCTGCACACTTTTTGCCAGTTCGGGTAGATTTCTCTGCGGAGAGATTGGCTAGGCTCTATGTGAAGGAGATTGTGAGGCTTCATGGGGTGCCTGAAAGCATTGTTAGTGATCGGGACCCGAAGTTCACTTCTCGCTTCTGGGGAGCATTGCAGGAGGCTCTTGGCACTCAGTTGAGACTGAGCACTGCTTATCACCCACAGACGGATGGTCAGACTGAGAGGACCATTCAGACGTTGGAAGATATGCTGAGGGCTTGCACCCTGGAGCAGGGTACTGCATGGGATCGATATCTCCCGCTGGTTGAGTTTTCATATAATAATAGTTTCCATGCTAGTCTGGGTATGGCTCCCTACGAGGCCTTGTATGGTCGCAGGTGTAGGACACCTACTTGTTGGTCAGAGGTTGGAGACACAGAGCGGTTTGGATTGGATTTTGTTCAGGAGACTACTGAGCAGATCAAAATGATTAGGGATCGTCTGAAAAAGGCTCAAGATCGTCAGAAAAGTTACTATGATCTAAAGCACCGGCCTCTAGAGTTTGAGGAGGGAGATCATGTGTTCCTGAAGCTGTCACCAGTTACGGGTGTGGGACGAGCCCTTGGAGTGAGGAAGCTGAGTCCGAGATTTATTGGACCCTACCAGATTCTTCGTAGGGTGGGACCGGTTGCCTACCAGCTTGCCTTACCTCCGCAATTGGCAAATTTGCATGATGTGTTTCATGTTTCTCAGCTGAGGAAATATGTAGCTGATCCTTCTCATGTGGTTCAACCTGATAATGTTGAGATCCGGGAGAATTTGAAGACTCCTATTGGGCCACTGAAGATACTTGAAAGAGATGAGAAGAAGCTGAGAAACAAATCTATTCCTATGGTGAAAGTCCAGTGGGAAGGAAGGACGCCTGAAGAGTCCACTTGGGAGCGGGAAGATGAGCTTCTCCGGCAATATCCTGAGTTTAAGGACAGGTACGTTCTTGATTTTGCGGACAAAATCGCTAAAAGGTGGGGTGACTATAATAGCCCATCTTAATTAATTAGTAAATCAAGTGTAATTAATTAATTAAACATGTTTTAGTGAGTGAAATTAAGTATAAGGCTTAATTAAATGAATCTGAGTCACTTTGGAGTTAAAAAGTGTACTCAGTGAAAATTAAGGGGTATAAATGGGTACTGGCAAAAGTACCCAAAATATAAAAATAAAAATAGTAATACTCCTAGAATAATATTCCAGACTTTTGGGTAAAGTTTGGTAATTATTGGAGTTGAATAGATAGACAAACCAATACCCACATGTTACCACTTAACCAATGTTAAGTGGTAAAACACCAAAAAGAACCCCTCATTTCCCACCCAACCCGTCGAACCAGAAAGGAGAAGAGAAGAGAGGGAGAAGAGAGGAAGAAGAAGAAAAGGGAAAGAGAGAGAGAGAGAGCAAATCCCAACGGTTTTGGGTGATTCAAAAGCCTAAATCGCTTAGAATCTCGCCCTCTTTCATAATCCTAGCTTTGTTTTGAGTGGGGAGCATTGTGGAGAGAGATATTACCTCTCAAAAATTCGGCCCTTTGGTGAAAATTGGGGTTTTGAGAGTTTCTACCTCCATTGAAGCTTGAGGAGCCATCAATCCTTGGTTGTGTGACCATTGGTGGTAAGATTCTAACCCTTGAACCTCATGATTCCTTGAAATTTGCATGAGTTAGGGTTTGTGAATAGTAAATTGGGATTTTTATGAAATGTAGTTGAATTAGCTATGTTCTAGGAAGAATGGAGCTTAGAGCATGTTATGGAAAATGCTAGGAATGTCATTTAATCGGTGGAAATGAGCCTAGATAGTCATTTGATAATTGTTCATAATGTTGGAAAATTCATGCTTGGATTGGTTAGTATTCTAGCATGTTGAACAATTAGTGAGTTGAATGATTGATTGGATCCTTGTGATGTCTAGGATTGAGACATTTGGACCAACCGTGAGTGATCAACCATTGGAGCAAGCTATGGAGCTTGAATAGCTCATTGGAATTGGTAAGCTCATACTTGTGTTGTGCTTTGAATTGAGTAATTGATGGTTGATTGTGAAATACTCTTGGATGCAATGTGTTGATTGCATTACACCATGTGTAGGTGTATGTTTGTAAAAGTTGATTGCTGAAACTGTTGGTGAAGAACAAAGGTTGACTGAAGCATTGAGGTAAGCCTTCGGACCTTGGGTGTAATTCCCTTGACTGTTCTACCAAGCCCTGAAAGGGTGGAGGTTGTGATTGTGTATATAAATGCAATAAAATAGTGTAATGCTTTGTTATACGTATGTGTATGCATTCGGTGTGGCATAGGATGGTGTTTCCCTATGTTGGTATGTGGCATGACGATGCGTAAATCATACTTGGTAGTTAGCTGGCCAGTAGGACTATTTGCATCTGAGTTTCCTTAGGACAGCTTGAGAGCTCGAGGGATTTCTCCTGGAGATGTATTGCACTTTGCATAGATATGTATTTACTGCATTATTATTGTTATTGCTATTACACTGATATGGAACTGTGGGGTGGAGAGATGCTCCAAGGACCCCTGGTTTACTGGATATATTCGTATATCTTACCCCGTGTTGTGGGGACCCCCTTTCAGGTAAGGATGCTGCAGGAGCCTCTGGTGGCAAGTGGCCATATCTGGATTATGCATGAAATATGGCACTTCTTTGAGTTTATGCATGCCTTTTGTAGTTGACATGTATAGGATTTTATTTTGAAAGCCTATGGTCATTTGTATATCTTGATTCATTGGATGAACTTAGCCTATGCTCATGCCTTTGGTTACACCTTTTGTTGATGGGAGCCAAGGGAATGATCATAGTGTTTTGTAAGCTAAGTTCTATGATTTGTAAAGGATATGTAATGTAAATGATGCCTACTTGAAATTCAATATATGCATGCTTGTTATGTATTGAGTTGTTGAATTGGTTGGGCTGAAAATCAATTAGGTACCCTTTTGTTTAAACTGGTAAACGATGAGAAAACAAAGGTCATGCTGCCCAAATTCTAGCTAAATCTCATGAGGAGAGGTTGGATGAGTGCTAGGATTTAGTTTTGGGGCATGGACAATTGGGGTTTGTAATGGGGATGCATTTTCCCCTAGGCTTGGACTTGAGAAATGTGGGAATTGGAATTCCCTGGCAGCGCGCCCAAGCGCCCTGCTGCCCCTGCGAGTGCCAATGCATTCTGCCTCCTTGCGCTGGAGCGCCCCAGTGGGGGCTTAAGCGCCCAGGATTGCGCGCTGGAGCGCCCTGGCGTGCGCTTAAGCGCCCTTTGCTGCAGAAAGTTGGGTGGCTTACTGCCCCCTCGTGTTTTAGCGCCCAGGGTTGCGCGCTTAAGCGCCCTGGTCCGCGCTTAAGCGCCCTTCGCCACTGAAGGAGGAGATGCTTCTGTCTCTGCGCGCTAAAACGTCCCAGTGGGAGCTTGAGCGCCCAGGCTAGCGCGCCTGAGCGCCCTGTTGCGCGCTTAAGCGCCCATCCACACTGGAAATGCTGATGCTTACTGCCTCCGTGCGCTTAAGCGCCCAGATGGAGGCTTTAGCGCCCGATAGCGCGCGCTTGAGCGCCCGGTAGCGCGCTGAAGCGCGCGGGGCCTGTGACCAACACTCTCTTGTGTTGCTTCAAATGGTCCTAACTTGGGCTACAGTGCTCCGATTTGAGCACGGTTTGAAGCCACGGGTAGCTAATGAAGAAACCTACAATATAGTGGAAGTATTGAACTAAACAAGAAGTAAATTAATGGTTTAAAAATGGGAAATGAACATGATGTTAAGCTTAATTTATCTGTTTCCGCAAGGTAATATGGTTATGATCACGAAATTGGGTATTATAAGTTCGGTACGTTTAAAAATGAAAAATTTATCCGGATTTCAATGGAACCCATGTGATTGTAACTGCGCTTAATATCATAATGCGATGTTAACAAACCGGTTCTAGAACGGGGTGTTACAATTTTCAAGGAAGAAATAAAATTAATCTTTTGCTAAGTCCAACCTTATATTACCTAGAGAGATTGTCTGTTATATGCAGCATTGAGGTTAATGCAGAGCATGATATCAAAATAAATAATTATCCTGTTCAGCAACAGTTCCAATAGTCCCTCTTTTATTTGGGATCACTCTGCTTCAATCTTTGGTAACTATACATATAATAAGTAAAAGAGTTGGGCAAACTTTCCAAAATTTCAAGGAAATATGCTGTCAGGAATTGAAGTTCAATTGTCCAATTCTACACGTGAAACTTACATGAGTACATTATTTTCTACTATGCAAATATGCAAAGGTAAAACTGCATAAAAAGATTGCCCTCACCCTACCCTCACTAGTCAGGGTTTAATGAGAAGTGGGGGTGGTGTGCACGTGAAACTTACATGAGTACATTATTACCAACTTGAAAAAGCAAAAGACGCTCGTATGCTACACACTGGTAGAAGTGAACTCACATTAAACATCCAGTAGTTATATATAACGTCAGGAATCTAGTCACAAAATGGCGTGCTCCCAATTCTGTCCAAGAAGGTGTCATGTGTTTTGAGTTGCTCTTAAGTGCACAGCATCTTCCAAGAATGCCATATGCTGCATCCATCCCGGCCTGAAAATTAAAACTATATTGTTCACTAACTCGGTTCCTGTTGACGAAATGTTACAAGAAAACCAATTACCTAAATATATATTGCTGCCAAAGCTATATCTTGCAGAAAATTATTCGTTTATATTGCTAATTTACAAAGGATACGAAAGAGGCTTGACTATCTTAAATACATGAATAAATATAATTCAATGACAAAAATCATTTTCTTTTCCTTATGAAGTTTGCTCATACTACCTTTAATTCATCTCCATGATATCCATAACCTGAAAATGACAGAAGTATGTTTAGATCTCAGGTAAATTAGAAGTAAATCTAAAAGTAGAGGTTATGCTCGGAATTAAATAAGATAATAGCAACTTTGAATAATGATTATATCTATATAAGTAATATATGTTCAGTGTCATTGATAATTTTAATAATGATGTTTAACTCTGAATTGTATATATTATACCACTTTAGGTTTCAGGGATGTGCTTCTTCTGTATAGTTTCAGCACTTTACTAAGCTACATAAGATGATTTTACATATGAAGGCATTTAAAACCAGTTCAACGAATTGTGTCACTTAAGAATATCCAAATCACAATTAGCATTTTCAGTCCAACATAAAAATTAGTGGCCAAAAGCAGGTCAAAGGAAACTAGCAGTGAACTAATTATGAAAGTTTATCTTGTCAACACAAAAGCCTGAACTTACCTAGGTAGGACCCAGAAAACCAGATTTTTCTTTTCCCTTGAATATGGCCCAGCTCATACGAAGCTTTTGATGCAGCAACTGTTGGTACTGGATGACCAGTTGACCACTTGAGCAAGGTATTTTTGGGTGTTTGAACTGGATTGATAGTTAAAAGAAAGGGTAGGCTAGTTTCTCCAATATTCTGCAAGTCAGAATAAGAATAAATATTAACCAGTAACTTTATCCACTGCCCAGTTTAGTGAAAGGGCTCAAAACCAATAAATTTCCCTTTTGTTCAATATTTGAACAGTTATGTATTCAAATGATAAAGTGGGCACTCGAGCCTCGAGCAGTGATAAAACTACTCCTTTGTGATGATTGAAAAGGCATGGATTCAAACATGGAAACAGCCTCTTTAAGGCTATTGTACAAAGATTGTCCTCGTCCCTCATTTTATGTATTTAAATGATACTGTGATTTATTTTTTATTTTCTAGAGATGTTACTAACCTGAATAATATTAAGCCAGTATGTCACACACACTTTGTTGTTGGTAGTTTCAAGAAAATTCCATGAACTCCATGCTGCTGGATTTTGGGGCATTAAAGTTTTGTCTCGATGAAGAAAGATATTACTGCATATACAGATGAACGAATAATTTTGCATTTGGACTTAATTGAATATAGAATATAAAAAATCACTATTAGCCCTTTAAAATTCAGTTATTAACATATATAAATACATAGTTTTATAACCCCAATCCAAAAGCCTTTGGAATTTTAGAACTTATTTTTCTGCTCTAGGTCCTAAGAAAATTTTTAAAATGCTAACTTCCCTTAGCGTAAGTGATTATTATCCAATGTAAACTCTATGAGCAAAACAATAGAAATGAAGATACTGTAATGCATGCATTAGGTTATATCAATAGCCTATAAACATCACAAGCTGTGATCTCTTATTCTATGATTGGAGGATTGCCAATTAACAATTGGAATAAGAAGATAGATTTTACCTGTACTCATACTGAAAAGCACCAAGAGTTCTACACTCATCTGATGTAGCTTCATCTCCCAATATTCTCAATGCATCAGGGGCATGTAATGCCATTATGCATGCATCATACATTTCTTGGGAACCATCTTTGCCTAACACAACACATCCTGCAAAAAGTTTTCTAAACTTATTACTAGAATAGCATTTTTTTAGTCAATTTACAAATTATTACAAGTTTTCATTGCATTTCTATTTCCTTTCAGTATCCATATCAATGGTCTCCACTCTCCACCGTGAGTATAAGAAGTTGTATAAATCACTCTCCTCCCCATTAAACCATTAAACCCTGGTTAGCGAGAGTACGGATAAGGGCTGATTGACACTTTATCCCTCCTTTAAAACCAATTTAACATTTTATCCATTTTCTTAAATTATATACCAATATATCCCTATTTGACCAAAGTTTGACCAAACCACTAAAAAAATAAATTTTAGCCACATTTAAAACCATAACTAGCTTGCTGAAAAAATGTGACTGATATAAGTGGAGATATATATTGATCATATATTTGGAAAAAATACTTCGTGATATACCATAACAAATTTTTTTTTTTTGGTATGGATACCATAACAATTTTTTCTCACAGTATAACATGTAAAAGCACACTATAATTTTATAAAATTTTCTCACAACATTTTTTTACTATGGGAATCTAATATTTACAACTTACATGTATATATATTACTTCCATCAATTAATTAGTATTTGTTTTGCTCTAAGAATTTGTATATACATAACTTATTACGATTATCTGTAATTTAAGATTTTAACTATCTCCTCTATTGTAAAAAGAGAATTAGATTTGTTTAAAATTTATTACTACTTATTTTCCTTAAGTATAGGTTTTAATAAGTTATTTTCACTATCTTAAGTGAAGTTTTATTCTCACTGATTTATTCTTAAATGGCATCAATATATTGTATAAATATTTAATATTAATCCAAATAAAATATACTTTTATTAATTTCATATTTTTTAAACTTTTTAGCAACTGAATTTCATTTTTTTTGGTACAAGATTTCTTAGCCAAGTAAAAATAATGTCTCATATAATTAAAAATAAAAAAATTCTAATAAAAAAATAATTATAAGAGATTATAATTTTATATTTTTAATTTTAAGAGACATTATAATGTCTCTTATAATTAAAAATATAAAATTATATACTTATTTGGCTAAAGAATTTTGTACCAAAAAATAAAAACAAAATACAGTGCTAAAAAATTTAAAAAATATAAAATTAACAAAAGTATATTATTGAGAAATAAACGTACTTTTATATTTTATAGAATTCTAGTATAAGAAAATAATTGTTATAATATATCAACAAGTATTTTTTTAAATATATGTTCAATATATATCTCTACTTATATTAACCATGGTATATCAGTAAATTAATTACGGTTTGAATGTAGTTAAAAATCAATTTTTCAGTCGTTTGGTGAAACTTTGGTCAAACGGGAAAAGTTGGTATATACTTTAAGAAGAGTGAACTCCTGAATTCGATAAACTCCTGAATTCGAATCCCTGACATTTTAATCATATAAGAACAGTTTTATCAAATTTGACCTCTGAAAATATAATAAGTTGTATATAGAGAAAAATTCTTGCAGGAGGAAAGTAATTGAAGAGTGAAAAGGTTAGATTAATCACCCACGTACCTTTATCAGATGTAGAAACCGAGTGTACCTCACAATTAGCTTTTATTTGACAACTTTTACTCACAAGCTCTTCTTTGACCTGATTTTTTCAACAAAGAGTGAATGACAACTTTTACGTACAAGCTCTTAACATAGAGTTACATTCATTATTCTCACTCTCTATGATGCACTTACTCTTTCCTATCAGAATATGAAAGATATAAGTAAAATTGACACTGAAAACTACTCCTTGGGTGTCATATCTTTAAAAATTTAAGGCTAACTATCATAATAAATACAAAGAAAAGAGGGTCAGCCTGAAGCAGTAGTAAAACTATTACTTTGTAACTAAAAGGCCGAATCTGAAAAATAATTTTTTTATAAATATATAATAGTAAGATTGATTATAAGGATTGTCATCGTCCTATCATTTATTGGAGTGGATTCTCTTATGTGGAAAAGTGGTCATGTTATTTGATGACAACCACTCATTTAAAAATTATACATTTTCTCTCTCTTATCTCATCATTAATGACTGATTGTGATCAAATAACATGACCACATGATCATTTTTTCACATGAGAAAATTCACTCCCATCGTTATAGATGAGGATTTAATGGGAAGCGGGGGTGGCGGTGGTATCATAATAAATATAAAGCACCTTCTTTACGTAATTTTGTGAGTTCCATGTGACAGTCATCGACTTTGGACGGTCAAAGACCTACAAAGACAACCAAGTGAAACAAGAACTAAAATTTAATTATTTCCATGTTAGAACAAGAAGTAGACTAAAATTAATATATAAATCTGGATAAGGGACAATGGTTCATGCGGTTGGTTCCAGTACCTGAAGTAGACTGTGTTCGCGGCAGAATGAGAGAACTGAGAAAGCAGAAAAGCTCATAACTCGTTCAGAAGGGCAGGGCCAAATAGAAGCACAAATTGGAATCTACAGTTTTTTATGTTTATAATATCAATTAACACTAAGCATAGAGGTTTTGTTTATAGAATATACATAAAACTATAGTCTAAGAATTAATTGGTCTCACCAGATAAGCCTTCTGAAATAATTCTGAGTACCCCCTTGACTTGATGAATTGCCCCAAAGTCTCATTGTGGTCAATATCCGGGTTAGTCTCAAGTATATCAAGATAGCTGCATTGCAAAATGGACAAAAAGTGAGAACCAACAAATCTATCAGTACATCGATCACAAATGAGTCAAGATAGCTTTACACTGCCAGTTACTATTGTTTTTAAATGTTGAACTTTACACAGTAGAGTTACATGTAATCATTGAGAAACAACAAAATGTAGTTCAGTGTGTCTATTACTCGAACAACAGTCAATCAAACAGTTAAAGAAACATTGAACCTTAGCTCTGTATGATCAAAACTAAGCGTGTATTTGATTGTGTTTTGATTTTTAAAACTGTTTTATAAAATAATTAATGAAATAAGTGTTTTCTATTTATTTATTTTTTGAAAATTAAAATTCAAAACACTAAATAAAAACAACTCAGATACATTTTTTAAATTTGATTGTATAAAAAAAAAAAACAGTTACAATTCTTAGAACTTTATTTTACAAAACAGACTATATCAAATGAATTTATTTTATTTTATTTTTTCTAAAATTCAAAAAATTGTTTTTCGAAACAAATTTTAAACAGGCCCTATCTTGATACCTTTTAGATAGAGAGCTTAGTCGTTTCACTCCACCCCCAATCAAAAAAAATATTGCAGGGCCTTCCTGAGTTAGACAGGAATCTAAGGACCACATACTCTTTTGAATCCATAAAAAAAATGGCTATACTTCCTGTGCCCTTGCTCTAAGGATCATTTGGTGGAGAATTTTTTTTATCATGAAAATACAATTACTAGGAATATGGAGGAAAAATGAGTTTGGTAGGAAAGTGAGTTTGGTGGGAAAGTTAAAAAAAAATTGGTTGGTAGGGCAAAATACTACCAGGAAAATTGGGTTAAATTTTTTGAATCTATGTTTGGTTGAAAGTAAAATATTGATGGGAAAATAGAATGAAATTCTCAAACTAACCCTTGACTAAATACAAAGAATACTCTCTCTCCAGCTTTTTTTAGCACCATTTTTGAGAAGGGATATTTGTGTCAATTGCTTTTTTTTTTCTTACTTTTTGGTTTGATGAGGTAATGAGAAAATCATTGTCTGGGTAGTATTCTGAAATGACAAATTTTTTCAATTTTACATACAAACTTAGATTGCTATGCAAATTCGAATGATGGACAAATTTTTTAAAATGTCCTAACAAATATGGTCAACTAAAAAATCCATCTCAAACTTTCCAAGTCATTCCAAAAGAAACCTCCAACCTAACGCATCTGAATGCTTTAGGAGTTACTGCTTTGTTAGTGATTTAATTATGACTGAGGAGTGTTGGGAGATTTCCTATGAGTTCTGAGTGAAAGCTGTAACTAAATAGCTAGAGAAAGTATAATAAACTATCCTATCCTACGAGTATGGCACTTACTGCTATGTACTTATATAATTTTAAACATTAAATAAATAAAATAAATTCATACAGAGTGCTTAGGTAATAACTTGCTTCAAGATTGTCTTAAAAAAAAAAAAAAAACTTGCCTCAGAACATCTTCCTTGAACTTGATAACTTCTCTAATCATTTGCCAGAAGAAAGGATTGAACACATTTCTCTTCTGTGCAAACAAGCTGAACAAACTGCTTCGGCTTCCCCATTCGCAGCCGCGGCCATTGTCTAGGCTGACCGAAAATGACACGTCTGACAATTCCATATCAACTCCAAGACTCTCAAAGAATTTCATCATATTGGGATAAGTGACCTGTTCAGGATATTAATTGTTACATTGTCAACAACATCACCATTATCATTACTGTAATCACTTGATATTAGACTCAAAAATTAATCTCTACAATATCCTAATCATCACCAGATTCAACCTTATGAAAGACTAAAGTAACACAAAAGGACGACTTGAATAACTGTTTTGTATTTTTGAAGAACTAATTTAGCAATGAGACACTAATAAATTGCGAGGGTAGGAGTGAGGATCGATTGTATGTGATTTTATTTTTGCATTTTTGTAAAGAAACTGTTTTCCATACGCGAATCAGTAAAGAAACATTTCAACACAAAAGCTTAAGTTTGCAAGTGATGACTTCAACGATTTTATATTAAATCTCTCTAATATACCTTCTACCGCAAGCCTTTTGAGCTTGAAATAAGAATATTTCACAATTTCATTTTTTGGTTCTACCTTGTGTTAAAGAAACTGAAGATTGAACTCGTGATCTGTAGTCATTTTTGTTATTATATCATGATAAGTAATCAATTCAACTCAAAATTTGTGAATGATGGACCTTCAATGATTTTATATTATATCTCTCTAACATCTCTAGACACAAATATGTGAATAACTAATGAATAAGAACACAAGAGAAAGCAGTAAAGTGATTACCTGGTTGAACAACATGAATCCCAGGTTCAAATCAAACCCTTCAACATGCACAGTGTTAGCATGAAGTCCTAAGTAGTCCTTGTTCTCATACAGTACCACATTCACTCCAGCATTGGCCAAAACATAAGCTGAAACCAGCCCACTAATCCCAGAACCAACCACTGCCACTCTCATCTTTGCCACCGTTAATTAATGGAACCAAAAAAAAAAAAAAGGTTGCAGAATATATTTGCATCAATGCACAAAGGTGAAAAAGCCCTTTAAAAGGATGTGGAGGGACGTGCTAAGAGTAAATAATTAATAAGCAGAGGCCCCAGTGGGTGACGTGATGCCCCATTTGCGCATGCTATGTATCAGTTTGCATGGACAAAGAGATGAGTCGTCCCTTTTCTTGGATGTTTTCATTTGTTTTTAAATATTGGGTCATTGTCCATTACTGAATAATTGATACACCGCATAACTTTGAATTAGTCTCATGTGTAGCTTTTATCGTGAGGGTATTGAAACCTGACTCACCCCAAAAGTTTTTTCGGATGTTAGAATATTTAAATCTGATGAAACTCTCATGATAAATAATTAACTGAGGTCAATAAACTCACTTGTTACTTTTAGACTAGCTTAGTTCATTGACGGTGATTCATTGTTATAAACTCCCTTGGTTTGCTCAATAGTGATATTGGAGTCAAGTTGAGTTCAGGATAACTATGTATTATGTGTTTTAAATATTTGAAAATAAGCAAACCCATGTCTTGGATCCAAGACCTGCCCACTCATGGTTGATAGAGAGCTTCTTTGATGTGATGTATAAAGCATGATAGTACAAATTTATACTATACGTTACGACATTTTTAGTTGTTTGGTGTGACCATCGTATGGTATAAGTTTTTGCAGTAGGATCCCTTTATATATCAAAATGATGAATAACTTAATCAGGCCTAGGAGAGTAGGATTAGGCATGATAAAGAGGTGATGTATTAAGGCACACTGATGAACAGATTTCTATAGAAGTTAATATCTTCTTATACATTTACAAAAAAAAAAAATATCTTCTTATACGTTTGGAAGAATTATATAAATTCATTATTAAAAGCTATTTTTTTCAAAAATATTTATTTTTATCCTATCTAGTATTATACAGTGCATTACCAAATATTGGATTATATTATCCTATACAAAATATTATTGGGAAAAATATTTCTGCAGTTAATGCAGATAAGTTATCTGCATTTATTCCCAAAACGACATCGTTTTGGTATTAAAATATTAAAAAATTATAAATATAAAGACTATTATAACCCTGAAATAAATTAAAATTACAAAAATACCATGATTTTCGTCCTAAAATGACTTCATATTGAGCTTACTGTAGATAACTTATTTGCAGTAACTGCAGAAAAAGTGAACCCTATATTATTTTATACAATATCACACCAAATGCTAGATAGTATTAAAATTTAATTAGATCTTATACAATCAGATCTTATACTTTTAGCCTTTATTGTATATATTATGTACCAAACATGCCCTGATACTAGAAGAAAATTTTCCCCACACTTGAGGAGAGATTTTAGAAATTCGAATATGAGTGGTAAAAAGATACCACATCAAGAGGGAATCAATTAAGCATGATACAAAAAATAAAATAATTTATAAATTTAGTGATTTAAAATATTGGGTTAAGATAGAGTTGACCTTAAGTTATCATAGTACTCCCGTAACTCGCCTGACGTGGCCACGAAATAAAAAGCATTGATTTCGTTTCAATATACGGATATACCCAAATTATTTGATTCTATAATTTTTTTATTAGTTTTATAAGAGTTATGTTGTAGGAAAAATGATTGTATAATATTATAAAGATTCGTTTTATGTATCTTATTTTTTTTTTCTTCAAAAAATATGAGCCTCACAAAATGTTGTTGTGTAAAAAAATTTGTTATGTCATGTTAAATTATAAATACAAATTTTTATTTATTATTCATGGATAATTTTTTTTCCCAATACATTTATTTTTGGGTAGGTGGGTTGACTTACGCAGTCCACTTACACTACAGGACAAGACCTTATCCCGTTGATTCTAGGATGAGTTTGTTCGGTGAAGCCAAAAGGAAACACCTTGGACCGAACACCAAAAAGACCAGCATCAATCCGTATCGTATCAATATCACTCCCGCGGGAATCATGCCGCAAACACTCAATTGGGCAGACCAACATTTGTCACTGTTTTGTCTTTTATATTCACTCATTATGATTCTCAAAGAAGGAAATATTATCTCCTACGTAAATAAAAGCATGTAGTGATTATTTTAAAAAATAAAAAATAAATATAAGTCTTACATATTTTTATGTATATAAAAAAAGATAATTTTATCTTCTCATACATTATCAAAGATATTAAACCCATTATAATAGTATTTTGATTCATAAAAGATTTCATTTCTATTCTATATTTTTACCCTTACTTTTAGTAATAAAAAAAAAAATACAATGAATTTTTTTAATTTCGCAGGACTTCCCTTACAGGATCATCATTGCAGTAGAGTTTAATCACCAAGTTCGGGATGAATTGGTGTGGGTCCTATTTGCATCAATGCACAAAGGTGAAAAAGCCCTTTAAAAGGATGTGGAGGGACGTGCTAAGAGTAAATAATTAATAAGCAGAGGCCCCAGTGGGTGACGTGATGCCCCATTTGCGCATGCTATGTATCAGTTTGCATGGACAAAGAGATGAGTCGTCCCTTTTCTTGGATGTTTTCATTTGTTTTTAAATATTGGGTCATTGTCCATTACTGAATAATTGATACACCGCATAACTTTGAATTAGTCTCATGTGTAGCTTTTATCGTGAGGGTATTGAAACCTGACTCACCCCAAAAGTTTTTTCGGATGTTAGAATATTTAAATCTGATGAAACTCATGATAAATAATTAACTGAGGTCAATAAACCCACTTGCTACTTTTAGACTTGACGGTGATTCATTGTTATAAACTCCCTTGGTTTGCTCAATAGTGATATTGGAGTCAAGTTGAGTTCAGGATAACTATGTATTATGTGTTTTAAATATTTGAAAATAAGCAAACCCATGTATTGGATCCAAGACCTGCCCACTGATGGTTGATAGAGAGCTTGTTTGATGTGATGTATAAAGCATGATAGTATAAATTTATACTATACGTTACGACATTTTTAGTTGTTTGGTGTGACCATCGTATGGTATAAGCTTTTGCAGTAGGATCCCTTTATATATCAAAATGATGAATAACTTAATCAGGTCTAGGAGAGTAGGATTAGGCATGATAAAGAGGTGATGTATTAACCAATGTAATTCTTAAGAATTAGTATATTATTTTAATATTAGTATATTAAAATAAAAAATAATTTTTCAATATATAATTTTTAAAAAATTTGGAGATTTTTATTTTTATAAAAGTTAATATATTTTTTGGGCACACTGATGAACAGATTTCTATAAAAGTTAATATCTTCTTATACATTTGGAAGAATTATATAAATTCATTATTAAAAGCTATTTTTTTCAAAAATATTTATTTTTATCCTATCTAGTATTATACAGTGCATTACCAAATATTGGATTATATTATCCTATACAATATATTATTGGGAAAAATATTTCTGCAGTTAATGCAGATAAGTTATCTGCATTTATTCCCAAAACGACATCGTTTTGGTATTAAAATATTAAAAAATTATAAATATAAAGACTATTATAACCCTGAAATAAATTAAAATTACAAAAATACCATGATTTTCGTCCTAAAACGACTTCGTATTGGGCTTACTGTAGATAACTTATTTGCAGTAACTGCAGAAAAAGCGAACCCTATATTATTTTATACAATATCACACCAAATGCTAGATAGTATTAAAATTTAATTAGATCTTATACAATCAGATCTTATACTTTTAGCCTTTATTGTATATATTATGTACCAAACACGCCCTAATACTAAAAGAAAATTTTCCCCACACTTGAGGAGAGATTTTAGAAATTCAAATATGAGTGGTAAAAAGATACCACATCAAGAGGGAATCAATTAAGCATGATACAAAAAATGAAATAATTTATAAATTTAGTGATTTAAAATATTGGGTTAAGATAGAGTTGACCTTAAGTTATCATAGTACTCCCGTAACTCGCCTGACGTGGCCACGAAATAAAAAGCATTGATTTCGTTTCAATATACGCATATACCCAAATTATTTGATTCTATAATTTTTTTATGAGTTTTATAAGAGTTAATATTATAGAGATTCGTTTTACGTGTCTTTTTTTTTTTTTTCTTCAAAAAATATAGGTCCCACAAAATATTATTGTGTAAAAAAATTTGTTGTGTCATGTTAAATTATAAATGCAAACTTTTATTTATTATTCATGTATACATTTTTTTTCCCAATACATTTATTTTTGGGTAGGTGGGTTGATTTACGCAGTCCACTTCCACTACAGGACAAGACCTTATCCCGTTGATTCTAGGATGAGTTTGTTAGGTGAAGCCAAAAGGAAACACCTTGGACCGAACACCAAAAAGACCAGCATCAATCAGGATCGTATCAATATCACTCCCGCGGGAATCATGCCGCAAACACTCAATTGGGCAGACCAACATTTGTCACTGTTTTGTCTTTTATATTCACTTATTATGATTCTCAAAGAAGGAAATATTATCTCCTACATAAATAAAAGCATGTAGAGATTATTTAAAAAAATAAAAAATAAATATAAGTCTTACATATTTTTATGTATATAAAAAAAGATAATTTTATCTTCTCATACATTATCAAAGATATTAAACCCATTATAATAGTATTTTGATTCATAAAAGATTTCATTTCTATTCTATATTTTTACCCTTACTTTTAGTAATAAAAAAAATACAATGAATTTTTTTAATCATGTTAGTGCCAAGTTATTTTTTCGCAAGACTTCCCTTACAGGATCATCATTGCAGTAGAGTTTAATCACCAAGTTCGGGATGAATTGGTGTGGGTCCTATTTAGCTATGCATTGTGATAAACAAATTTAAAATTAGAAAAAATGTTGTAGAAAGAAAAATATCTCTTATGAAGGAGCACATTTTTAGTGCAATAAGAGTATGTATTCCCTTACCAAAACGGGAAAAAAAGGAATATGAGAGGAAATAATCATAAAGGTAAAGATAGTGTAAAT